TTTCAGGTTTCAGTTTAAAAAAAAAAAAGAAAAAGGAGATAGGGAGAAAGAAAACCTGCAATATTTTCACACCTATTTTTTAACGGATATTTAGATGAATACGGCAAGTACCATAACATGTTCTTTTTTTCCATTTGAACCGAAGAAACATTAAAAAAATATCATTTACGTATCCGGAACTTTTGTTCGTCCTTTAGGTCAAGGATTAATTAAGATAAAGCAGATGTTCCATCGAGTCTCGAGGAATCTTTTATTCTGAAAAAGGGAACGTGATATGAAATTTAAAAAGTAGCTAAATAAGGTCTAGCATAATTTACATGGCGCGAATGATTATCGCGGGTCCCCTTTCAGGGTACGTACGCTTGCATCAACTGAAACTTGTTCTTCATTGTCATTACGTCATTGGAGACGCATGAATATGACAGTTTATTATAGGAATGAATAACTGGGTTTTACGGCGCGAACAGGGCCGGCCGAAACGTACGAGCGCCTCGGGCAAATTGATGATTTGGCGCCTGTATAAGCCAAGGCGTAAATAATCGACTGTGGAAAGCTGAGTTAACGCGATATTTATGGTTTGTTTGGCAGGGTCGTTTTGTTCTTTTGCATAAAATCGCATTTAACTTTAATTACCAAATTTTCAAAAATTCAAATTTTCAAAAATTCAAATTTTCAAAAATTCAAAAATTCAAATTTTAAAAAATTCAAATTTTCAAATTTTCAAATTTCCAAAAATTCAAAAATTCAAATTTTCAAAAATTCAAATTTTCAAAAATTCAAATTTTCAAAAATTCAAAAATTCAAAAATTCAAATTTTCAAAAATTCAAAAATTCAAAAATTCAAATTTTCAAAAATTCAAAAATTCAAAAATTCAAATTTTCAAAAATTCAAAAATTCAAAAATTCAAATTTTCAAAAATTCAAAAATTCAAAAATTCAAATTTTCAAAAATTCAAATTTTCAAAAATTCAAAAATTCAAATTTTCAAAAATTCAAAAATTCATATTTTCAAAAATCTAAGTTAAAGTCGTCTGCCAAGGGGTCTGAAATATCGTGACTGTTTCTTATTTTAATAATTTCGCGGTTTTATTAATTGCCGTCCTTTTTAAACTTCTGCGCTTTACAAATAGTAAAATCCTGAATGAGAACTGCAGACTCAAGGAAAGACTGTCGAAGAATAATAATTTGGTCGAAGAAGAGATAATATAACACAGGAACGTTTAATGAACAAATTAAAAATGAATCGTCGATGGGCTAAAGAACGGTCCAAGTATTTTCACCTCTAATAAGGTAGTAACAATAGTACAATTGCCCAATGACAACTTACACTAACCACTACGATACAATTTGCAAGCGAAACACTAATATTTGCAGATTTATTTTTCTGTCAGACAGGTCACAAGTTTAAAGAACTTTCGTAAGCAGCCAGGGATAACGATATACTTACATACAATAATGTAGTATCGTGTTACACGATGTGACCATGAATAAGCAAGGACTTCGATTTTGTACTCTTTTAACAGAATGGTAGGAAGTCAACGACTTGAGTTACAAACTACCAAGGCGACCATGCGTTGCACCATACACACTGGGTGTCCATTAAGAACATTAGCTACACCTTGCATAGGCCGGACACGAAGAAACATGTCATCCGATCATTGATGGGAAGAGTTCATTGTTGACAATTGACTTTAATAAATGTTCCACGTTCTAAGAATCATTTAAGGTATGTACTTCACGAAAAAAGAAAGTCTGCAGTTTCTCCTGGGTGCACCAGAGAAACGTATCTCCATTCGATAGAGGCTTAAACATGTGAACCTCATTAAACCAGAACTCCCAGCTACTCAACCTCTTGGTAGACAAGTTCGCTGCCATTCAACTCTATGCAACTATACGTATACACCTACTCATCCCTAACGCTAGACAGTGATTCAACCAAGTTTTTTCCTTAAGATATCCTTACAGATATAGATATCCTAAACGTTATATTTCGACTTTAATCATTTTTTTACGGAATCACGAAGTTCTCTGATTAGGTCTCATTTGTTCGAAAAATTCAATCACACATCTGATACTAATAATATTTCTAAATAATTAAAATAAAGAAAGAGGACGATACTCGTTACAGGAACTAGAAGAAATTTCAGATCATTGGCACAAATTTCGATAAGAGCATTACAAACGTTTACAAAAGACAGAAATAAGAAAATAGTAATCAGAACTTGAGTTCGAAGAATATTGGTCTGAAACATAGATCTAGCGCTAAGAATGGCCCACTAAATATTACTGTTTATTAGTATAACGAATAATTAACACTTCAAATTTATCAATTAGAACAATAGCAAGTATCTCGTTAGTGTTAATGAAATGCCAAAATGTTTCGTATAACACACGTAATTGGTCAAATACTTTCGCAAGCCACTGCATCATATTCACCTATAACTCTACTATTCTGAAACTCATTCGCACAATCAGTATTATGTACATATATAGGCCGTTTTGCCAGTGGAAGTGGCAATTTAATTTGCAACAAACGTCGATGGAGCGGTGTCTGGCGAGGTAGATTTAAAGCGTTGCACGAGCGAAGCCCGCGGAGGCGTAATCTTACATTTCTTCTCCGAATCTTCTCCGAAAAACCGGTTGGCCGGTTCTGATTCAGACCGACCTTGAGTCAGTCAGCTTCAAGCCTGAAGTTCAGGGTTTTCAAGGTGCTCTCTCTGTCGCGAGCCTTTAATAAGCTCCGCGAGGACACGGAGCAGAAACGTCGGCGAAGAGGCAGAAAGAGAAGGAACAAAGTATGACGTCCGGGGGACGTGAGAATACCATGTGTAATAATAAACCGAACTCCGGCTGTATGACGCTCAGAAGCGGCCAGCGAAACGGTGGACGAGCAAACGAAGACAATAAAAAGAATAGAAAAAAGGACGATTCGAGGGGAAGCAAGCAGTCGATCCACCGAAAATAAGCGACGATCTATTTTCGTACCGGCTTTCGTACGCGATGCGTCGTAGGAAAAACACTGGATGCCCATAAATGCTCCCATAAATCTATCGCTAGAAACCTCTTCGAGCTGCCATAGAATCGGATAAATTGGAAAATTGATAGAACAAGGTGTAAATTTTCACGAATCTCTTTCTATTTTCGTCCGTCTGAAACTTATAACGATCAGTTATGGGAAATTGAAAGATGCAAACATGCATAGAACACTATGCAGAAGAGAACATAAAATACAGCAGTGGAACAGATCTCTGTCTAGATCCTACTTTTTTTTTTTTTGTTATATTCATAAAAATAGAAATTTACAGAAATATTCGCAGCCTATGAAATTGATTCTTTGGTTAGAACGTAGTAAATCATCGTATTAAACATATTTTTAACGCTCGAGCATTGGACAAGAAACATCGTTTTCTTTTTACGATTTATGTCATTTCTATTAGAGCTCAAGGATCTCAACAATAATCAACACAAATAAATCCAGTCTGGTGATCATTTTTCTGGCCTAGAATATAAATTCGTTATTTTCACTGTGTGATACACAGCACTGCAGTTTTACGACCGATCACAATTGCTTGATATATTTTTTATGGCTATCGGAATCGTATACTGCGTTCCTATCCAATTTAGAGTTCCAATCTGATATTCCATTCCCATTATTCTTGCCGCTATTCAAGAAACAATTGCACGAGTGTTTGGAACAATAGTTGTATACTTTAAAGAAAGCTTGCGTAATTTACGGGTCACGAAAAGAAAAAAGATAGTTTAAGAGCCCGGCATTTGCATAAAGGAGTCGAACTGGATTACACGGAATTTAGAAAGCGCGCCGGAAAAGCAGAACACCAATTATCCTCTACATCCTCGGATATTCGGTAAACGTTTCAAGTTTCTAGTAGCATACAACAATTAAGGTTGCAAAATAGGGGAGCATTAACCTTAAGATACTGTATACTAGCCTTTAATTATAGCTCATTTTATATGCACCTATATTGTATTGGATCATTGTATATAAATCTGTTATTTCACTCATATATGTCTTATGATATATAATAATAAATACGATAAAATTTGTTCGAGTTTACCAATAAATCTATATATATAGTATGTGTCCTATTAAGTATTTATGACTGACAGTACAAGTGCAGACAGATATTAATCACAGGTTTGATTAACGTAAAACTAATCCGGTAGCAATTTCTATCGCTATTCACCACTAACGTCACAAACTTTTATTTTAACGTACAGTTCGTGGAACTGGTTTTACGTCGAAGCGAGGAAAAAGGAACAAAACCGAAGTTGATAGATAACGAAAAGTGGTTTGAAAAATACAGAACACACGGTTACACCGGTTACGTGGCGTTCGCGATAAAAATCGTTTTAAGGAACTACATCGTTATGTAACTTCACTATCTCTAACTCGGTTCCCGAACTTACAGCCCAACACCGGATATTCACAAACCGTAAAGTACTACTGTGTTCGCCGAGTTAGACGAAACATTTCGTTATCCGATCGTATAACGAGACTCAGACGAGGTCACTTCTGCACTGATAAATGTCAGATTTATAATATTCCAAGATAGCTGTATGTTACAGATTCCATTGATAGCAGTGAGTGAAATTTGTTGAATTTTGATATCTATGGTGGAAAAGCAGATACAAGTATGAATTAGAGAGAATGATAAATTGTACAGATACCTACCTATATGACTAATCTAAGATGGAAATTATAAGTAGGAACTGTTGCTGATGACTCGTAAAAAAATATCTAATGGCTGCTGAGTCAGCTGAATATGTTAATCGGAATGCGCTAAAACGGTGATTCTTCAGCGCCACGATTGACAATTTTTGGTCGATCGGTTCGCTATAATGCTGGAGAATTCGATTCGACGCACTTATTAAATTAACTCAGATATGCCTCAGTTCTTTTTATATTTCTTTGAATAATACTATTAATGATAATAATAATAATAATAATAATAATAATAGTAATAGAATACACAACATAATTATGTTTAAAGAAACATCTAAGTTTTTATTAACAAAACAGCGTGTTGGTAATAAATTTCCATGGTATTTTTCTTTTATCTCAACTAACATCTAACTTTTTGTTAACGAAATAGTGTGATGGTAAAAAGCTTCCATAATATATTTCTTTTTTATCGCGATCGACATAAATAACTTTTCTTTATTCGGTGTATGAAATGTTCCATAGCAACTGTCAAACATACTGCAAGCACCGAACAAGTTGTTCGAGGAAAAAACGTACGTCCAGACATGACTAATAGACCTGGCTGAGTCGCGCATGTTGCCCCCATAAAAATAGCTAGCAACCTTTATCGTGACTCATCGTATTTAATTGTGTTATCTTGTCTCTGACCTGTGACCAAACTATAAACAAACATTTTGAAGAACAAATGGACAAGGTGAAGTTTTCCTCTTATAATCGTTTGTCTCTTTCCAGAATGGTAACCATAATGGGACATGAGGTTAAAGTTGCTTGCGGCGTGTTCCATGATGTTCTATGTGCGTGAAATCGTGTAATAGTTAATGTATTTGGAAGTTAAGATATTCAATTTCAAGGTTCATAGTGACAAAAGGTCACGTATCTACTTAAATTAATCGATAAACCAAGGATTTACCTTATTAGTTGGGAGATCAACCTATTAAAGACTAATGGACCAAGAAGCAACACAATATGGTATCCCTCTTCTCGATTATTTATACTTTTTCCAGGTGTCGTGCGTGTTTCGAGGTTAAGAGTCTTTGTCTAAACAATAACCTATAATCCTCGTTCCCTATATACCCTTAAATCGGGCCCTCGGCCCGACAGAGAAACAATGCACCGCTTTTTTCTCCGGTTTCTTCCTCCGATGTTTCCTAGAAAGATAGTTGACTAGCACGTTCGTGAAATCGCGGAGATATCTTAAAATCTTTTACGTGCCGTTTCTGCAAAATTTCCAATCTGTATGATTCGAAAATCAACAAGTAGTTTACTATTTGATTACATGTATGCTTTATGGCTTAGGTACTTAGGTAACAATAACAAAATAACTCAAATTTAACACAAATGGTATTTTCAAAAGTTACACAAAATTTAAGGAACAGAACTATACGTTGGAAGATATTGATGTCATGATTGAGGATCGATCTTCAAACTTAATACGAGTGGGATTTCTAACAGATAAAAAGATACGTTAGGAATCGAGTTAATAAGTTGGGAAACACTGACATCATGATTCATCGATAATAATCTTTTATCGAAGAAATTCGACTTGACGATATTGGATAAGTATTATCTCAACGGGTATAATAGTTTGACGTCACCGTCGATTGCAACGAGTAAGTGACAGACTATCGAATATCGAGCGTTATCGATACCCGATCATACCGACCGATTCAGAATTGGCGGATCATCTTATAAGTTCGAACCTTTATTTTTTTCCTCGATCTATGTTTTTCTTATCTAGTGCATGATTTTAATTGTTTGATATTGTGTACTCGTGATATTTGCGATATTTGTTGTTATGGCAAAAACGTTTATTTGGATAAAAGATAAGTGATAAGAACTGATAGAAAAAGCTCGTAAGTCACTGCTATTAAGGCGATTTTCGTTAAAACGACGGAAACGGATAGCTAAAAAATGGCGCGTTGAAACATATTTCTTGACGAAGTATAATTTATTTCTCTTGTTATTCTTTTTTTTTTTTTTGCTAACCTATAATACAAGGACAGTTTAAAACTAACCTTGGTTGACCAATGACATCTTTATCAAAGCAGTTAAATCGTTAACTATACGTCGATCCAAGCAACGATTTAGCGGGTTCTTCGAACGTCGCCTTAATAAATTCGCTTGACCCTTTTACCCAACTTCCACTTGCACGTGGTCAATTATAGTTCGCTATAAATCCTATTCTAAATATATATCAATATTTAAACGCTTTGGCTTTGAAAACGTTAAAGAAGTCACGCGTCGATGTTGTTTGTTTCACTTGAAATATTATATATGGCACAAATTGAAATAAAATTCTAGTAGAGAACAGGGATAAAAAGGAGTAAGTTGTAACGAACATGATATGATGCAACAGGCATTTGTTGCATATAGATATGCTAGAATATATGTAGAATAGTAAAATGTAGTAATCATCCATCAATCAATATTATACAAATTAAAATTTTTTTAAATTTCAAAACAGCAATTTGAATTTGTAAGTAATAGATGAAAACATTATCCTGAAATTACTTTGTTCTGGAATATGGTTAACTTAAGAATGTTGCAAGTGTGGATTACGAGGTAAATTATACACGAAAACCGTGTCACGTACTTGATTTATGAGAAAAAAGTATCCTCGACTCAATGTGACAGACTACCTCGCGATGCATCTGCTGCAATCCGTGCATCACCTAATAAAAGCACGAGATGTTCGCGATTTCATTTCAGTGACTCACGTTCCAGATGTCAATGACATAAAACGCAGCTTGCGCGCCTCCTGCTTTGTGTGTATTTTCAACAAAAACTAATCGAATAGGTATCGTATCACATCATTTGCAACTTTGTATCCATTTCTTACCAAACTTGTAAGTAAACAAGAAGCAAAATACTTTTCACATAAAAATACGTTACCACATGGATAAAAGTCAAATTTTGATGCAGTCTATGCACATTTTTCGAATAAAAAAAGATGCAAGGGAAGTTAACCTTAATATGAACTGTATTCCCCACTCAATTTTTGAACTATTCGTAAGTGAAGATACTTTTGTGTTATTTATGGTTTCTGTTAACTCATTAACATAGAAAAGTCAAGTGCTCTTCACTAATAAATCCAGATCTACTGAAAGTGGCCATCATCTTAACAATATTACTTTTTCAGCTATCTAAACACTGTTAGTTACTTTTATGGTTAGGCACATTTAACTCTCCAATGCGTTATAAGTTATAATACAGTTTCTAAACGTTAACAGAACCACGTATAGTATCGAAGAGTTAAATTAAACTTACGTTCCAGCTGATCAGCTTGTCACAAATGTCACACAGAGTTCATCCACGAAACTTGTCACATCACAGTTACGATCACAAGAAGCGCCAACGTCAGAACAAAGACGTCCTCTTTCGAAACTGTAGATCCGCGCGGCTCGATACGTTTAAAGCGATTCCACGGGACTTTTACTTTTATTTATCACGAACGAGAGTCCATACACGAGACTGGACTATCGGTTCGTACACCTGGATGACACCTGGAAAACTTGTTCCTCCGAAGAAAGCCACCGCCGATCTCTCAGGGTGCCTTTTGTGCTCACCTCGAACATAAAACTTATGTGGATCTTGTGTGCACACGCCACGGTGTAACACACGAAACTGCCGGCTTAAAGGAACTCTCTGTGCCGTAGAAAGAAGGTGGTGGAGGAAAAGAGGAAGACGTTTGAAGGCACAACAGAGAAGGAGAAACAGCCCATTCCCTCCGTGTGTTCCGCGTGGTCGTGTTTGTATGTGTCAATACGTGCGTATACGTACGAATGTATATGTTATGTGTGTGAACGTTTCAGTATTCGGCTGACGATGCACAAATGTTAGTGTATGAAAAAATACGTATTTTTTGGAAAATTTGTTATATTACAAAGAAATCAGAGATATTAAGTTCCCGCGTTAAACTAGAGGGCACTGCTTTTGGGTCCGTTTCGAAAGCGTGATGGAATTAGAAACGTCTCGAAAGAGTCTATATGGGATTGCTAGTATGCCACGCACGTTCGAGGTTATGTATAGACGATCACGATTATTGGTCCTCTTAGGAAATACATACTACGATTGTGATCTATCCATATATAAAGCTTATCTGTCGAACATTATGACTCTTTTTCTTCCAAATCATGGAAGCATATGCAATCAAATTTTATTGAAATAGTTTGTCAAGATTATTATTAAAATATACAATTTTATTTTTCGTATTTTTAAATTAATTTTGTGTTAAAAGTCGAATGATTTTTTTGGTTATGATTAAGGAGACAAGTTTTATAAGAAAGATTTGCATAGTTTCAGAAATGTATAATTACTGCTCGAACCGCTGGTCTCGACGATGTTTGTAATTAATTTAAATTACTATCTGTACGAGCGTCGTTTAAGTCGCCGATCGATATCTAGCGGTTGGCGAAAAAAGGAAAAGCGAAACATAAGTACACAAATATATAGTACACAAAGAAAGCGTTTCAGGGAGTAATCTAAATGAATGGAAAGGCGCGCGCGCATTTCCTTTCGTCTCGAATAAAACGTTACTCCCTAACGACCTAAGTATACTTCCTGTATAATTAAGTGTACTCAACTTTGTTACGCTTCCGGGAATTCGTTGAACTTAGCAAATTCGATACTAGATAAATTGCTGCTTATACCGAGGCTAATTAAACAAACGCGGCAAAACGAGGTGTAAACGAAAAATATTATGAAGACTAACTTATTTCTAATTGCAGGGAACAACAGGGAAAAACAATAACGGAATGGTTGAAGTAGAGAAATATCCATAATTGAAGCAATTACAAGGTGCTATTTTAAGCCGCATGTGTCTGCACAATTGGTATCTGATTAAAATTAAACGAGATCAAGCGTGGTATAGAAGTTGCAAGTGTTTGCAACCCTTTAATGATTGCTGCAGCGATGATCGGCCGGAGAACTGCAACTATTAGGAAGCCAAAATGTGCATCGCCCTTTCCTGCTATAATTCACTTATAGTCCACTCTTCCGCGTTTGTATACATGTACTTGATTATAAAGTCAGTTTTTCTATAATTATTTGAACATTGTTAAACATTGGACTTATTTGGCAATACGGCAATTTAGCAATATTTTTTGAAAATTGTAGTTGCTTACATCGTTGCCAAATGAACGTGTAAGTATAGTCACAAAACAGACCTATATTCCAATGTCTTTATAGGAAACATCGATTAAGGACTAATGGCCAATTAAATCTCCGTTAGTTGACGATTATATTTTAAAATAATTATTTATTTATGAAGAGTATGTGACTGGCGTCGCGACCCCTCACGCTAAACCGGTATTAAGGCTGCACGCGTGCAAGCATCGTCTGCACTCGGCTTAATGTCAGCCAAGCAAGTTGGCACGAAGTACGATAAATGCCACTTTCGCCCTGGAATAACCTATAGCTCTCGGGTATCCCCTACTTTGCAATGATAATTCGCACCTTCGAATGATAAATCCTCCTATCCTTTACTCTTGATTATTTCCAAAGAGATGCATCTCCTTTGCACGAAATTATTTTAACGTTATGCAAATGTTTTCTCTCGTCAGTTTATGTTAAGAATATGTTGTTTGCCCTGTCAAGTCACGACAGTACTTTGCTTGCTAATAATTGGTGAAATAGTTAGATACGCATCCATCATAATAAATTTGAAAAACTGCTTGCATCATCGTTTATGTAATTTATTAGCTGTAAGTACTGATATACATAATATAGAATCTAATATTATGATCTCGTTGTTTACTTATAGGCACCGATCAACCCACTTCCTGTTCGTTTCAAATTGTCAGTGACTCTCGAGCCCGAAGGTACGCAGGCAAAAAGTACTTCACAGATACCCGGCTTTCCATCATTAATCTCGTGACAAGCGTGGCCAACAGGAATCTCGTAACAAGACAAAATAACTCAATATCCGCGTTTCTCTACTTTCCTCGCAACTTACAAATAATATTTTTAGAGCAATTTGAACCAGACCCTGTGGCATACTTAAAATTCATTAGTATTACACCGATGACTCATACTTGTCTACAGACAGCCTCAAAGAAGATCATGGTTCCCGTTTCAGTGCATCTAAATGCAAGGAACAAGACGATTATCATTCCACGTGTGTTCCATCTGGTCTTACGATAAATACCGCTATGCTAGTTCTGTAACCGTTAGCCAGTGTTTGAAACACTACCATGATTGACACAATTATTAATTACACTCGACGAAAAGAGTAAAAGAGTAAATACTCCTAACTATTTTCACATCTTCTTTTGACGTTTCTTTTCTTTCATCTGACGGTTGTAAGGAACGAGGCAACGAACTGAGAAGACGAACAACGTTTCAGAGTCGACGGTACGGTAAAGCCGATAAAAGAACTCTCGAGCTACGCGGCCAAGGATGAAGATGCCCAGTGCAAAAATACCGACGGCAAAACGAGGGTTGCTGTAAGCGCGAGAATTTTTCGAGAGCGTTTTCTTCTTCTTCGCGGCTAGCCCGCTACGGAAAACGAGAGGCAATAAAGTTTACAGCGCAGCCCCGTCGACTCTCGTGTATTTATAGCTGGTCATTTCCACGGAGATCCTCCCGTAATTTTCAAGTCGAACAGCTCTGCACGTCCATGATTCCCCTTTTGCTTTTTCCTCGCCTTCACTGACAGGAAGCTGATGCTTACAATTAGAGAACTCGAGGATCCACGAATACCCTACTTCTTTCATAAAACATTTCACATCTTGCATCTATAATACCGTTAGATATTAAAAATAGAATCACTGCTGTTACTGTATATATCACGCCCATGCGATCAATTAAGGAACACTGTGAACGCAATCATCGTACTTTAATTTTTGTACATTTCGACAAAATAATTTAGACAGGTGAACAAAACGGTGAGAAGTGTACCTATAAAAATAAATAATTTTTGTTGAAAAAATAATTAAATTTCAGTAATGAATGATCATATTTCAATAGTAGTGGACATATTAATTCAGATATCTTGCAATCTGTCAAATTCTACATGTAATACGTAACACCGTCAGGGATGCGAGACACAAAATATAACGAGACATTTCGGCGTAGTTAATATTACAGTCGAAAATCGCGGAATGTTAGTTTCTTCATATTTCATGGGCCTCAAGGTCTCTGTTGAATATGAAATTTTCAGTAGTCGGTTATTTAAATATTTGTGTGACTTATGTCGTTTTGCGTTCATAAGGGCTGTCATTGTTCGACGGTTAGTTTATTTCCATGATGCGACTTGCGTCAGAAGTCAAGACAGCCTACTGGCCCATTGATCAACGATGTCCACCTCCACGCAACGTATGTCAAGCTCATCCAAACTCTGATATAACATCGGGGCCCACGTGGACGATGACCGTGGCCAGGGACGAAAGGGGAACACGATGCGTCTGAACAACGATGAGTTAGACACCAGTTTCGATCGGTGTCCACGAAACGTCCGCTGTAGGGAAAACTACCACCCTCCGCGAAAACACCCCTGCTAAGTGTCAGTAGCGTGCTGTCTGTTGTTCCTATTGCACGAGTTTCCGTTATCCTTAAAACGTTCGTGTTAATCGAGACACCATTGTGTTAATCTTCAGAGATTGCTAGAAATTGGACACTCTCGCGTAAAATCTTCAGAGATAGAGTTAGAAATTGGATATTGGATTATCAAAAGTGATAAAAGAAGATTGACAGAAGCTGAACAGCAAAGGGGGAAATCGATGAAGAAGTTTGGGTGATGGGACAGTTTTGATCGATCTATGAAATTTCGAATGTAAGTGTATTTGGTTGATGGATTCTCGTCATCTGGAATTGAATATGGAGTTGGCAGAAATTGATATACATAGCAATGTTTATGACGTGTTCCTGATATTAAGGAATTTCACTATTGGAATTTGGAAATTTCTACACTGGGCTGTTAATGCCTAAAGTGTGAATATCTTTTAGAACTGTTTCCTAGAAAATTATAGGAAATGTGTCCAATCTGAACGCTTACGACGTAAAAGTTGTAAAAGAAATCACCGTAATAAATGTGGCAATAAAATGCACTCTTCCCTATTGCTATAATAGTCTTCTTTCTTTCGTTGTCGCATGAATTTCTAGCTAGTTAGAAAGAATCGATATTAAATGAAAGGAGAGTCATTGGCGTTATCATTTCGGGACGTTCACTACATTTTTACGATTATCAAACTTTTAAGATTCGGACACATTTGAAGCAAATCGATCGCGTGGATCCGCGCGGAACAGTTCTACCGTCGCTCTTATTGGCTTTCACTTTCAAAATCGCAGTAAACCACTACCTTTACGTTAATTGTTGTAAAAAGGAAAGGTGCAAAATGAAAGGTGTAAAACGAACCAAGCGGAACGTAGTCGCGAAACAACCGAGTCCCATGGTCTACATAACTCTTTTTCTGGCCTTCTTAACCCGACAGAAACAGAAAAACGCGCGTTGATTAATACGATCGTAGTTTACACTTTCATTTCGTCACAGTTTCATTTATTTAAATACAGCCGTGAAAAAGAAAATATTTCGAAAAAGCGTATACTTACGTTTATGTTTAATTCACAATCACGATTCGCTTATCGATGACAGATGACTGAAGGATTTCTACGGTAGAATCGCAATTAGCGGCGAAACTTTCGCTTCAATTACGGCAACGCATGTAATTATCATCGCATATGTAAGCGAATACGTGTAATTAACCGTTTCGTTGTTGTATAAATTTTCGTACTCTTGTCGGGCAGGATTAAATTCATTCGAAAAGGCTTTCACTATTGTGAATCCCGGAAAATGAAGCATTTCACTTCTCGATCTTCTGCGATGATCCATCTTCAAATGGGTCCGATTGTTCATGATGACTCGAGATATCTCGTGAGAACGACACCGATCGCACGACTTAAAATTAATTTAAACGAGATTAAATTATACTGTATGTAGGTACTTGGCCTGAATTTATGTCCACATCAATTTCTATTTCTCTGTATTAATTCTATTAATTACATTTTATTAATACCATTAGTTGTATTAGCGGGATTGTATCTCGTTAACTGGTAATTATGACGATGGTCATGCGTTACTTTCATACGATTGTATTTCATTAATCGCTGTTTATGACGTTCTTGAAGGTTGACGAATGGTGCTTGTGAAAAGTCCATCGCCTTCCCGAGGCGAGAGTCTTCAAAAAGAAAATGCGAAGAAGGATAAAGGGAAGAGTCGCGTATCACGCGGCAATAGTCCCGCGGATCACACTATTTCCAGGGGAAATAGTCCAGGAAAGAGCAATTCTACAATTAAAGTAGTCACGAAAAGTAGCCTTCAACAGTCTCGTGGAAGCGAGTAAGTATTCGTCCTCGTTTTTATCTGATATTTTTGTTTTATCATTATTTGTCATTATTATTAGATCAGCTTTAATCGATTACCACGTAATAACGAATGTTTTTAACATTTTAGCTTTTTCTTCTCATCACGCTGTGTTATATATTATTATACTATTATTTCATCATTATTATGATTTAATCAATTTCAAGAGCATGTGGTTAAAGAAGAATGTTAATGATTCTTAATATATAGCATAGCTTTTTCTTTTCGTCACATTTAAATTTAGCTCATCTATTATTATTATTATTATTATCATATATTATTACACTATTATTTTATCATTATAAGATCATCTGTAGTCGATTACGTTGTACAAATCATATCGTCATAGAAAAATATTAATGATTCTAATGAATAGTTTAGCTTTTTCTTCTTGTTACACGTTTAAGTTCAGATCATTTAGAAATGATCTGCTGAGAAAAAATAGATAAGTACGTAATTTTCACTCCTTCGGCCAATGCAAGTATCTCATGTAACTCGTATTAACACTATCTGATGGAATATTAACGCTTTTACAGCAATTTCATGTAAGTGAATACTGTAAGCAAACGTTTACGTAGAAACTATCGATCAGGCTGAACATTTCTGCGAGGAACTGACGCGTCGCACCAAACAATCGATGTGAGAATTATTTTCGTTCTCTTTTTTTCCATTAAGATACGTTCTACGTCGGTATTTCCTAACACGATGACGGTTTTGTCATCGAACAATTTACAAATATTCTATAACTCGAACATATGCAATATACATTAGAACAATATCGTCTATTCGCAGAATAAAAGAATTTGTTTCTTTATCAACTTTTAAGATAACATTCAGACAATAGGAACCAAAATGATACAATTTACTAGGAATTACTTAATGATAAGTACTGAATCGATAATTGATAACACACGAAATTCTCTTAATTTATTCAAGCTGTAAAGCACAAAACAAAAACAATGATAAGAAAAGAGATATTGACAGTAAGCCACGTGAAGAGAAGATCATACAAACCTTGACACGTTGTGAATATATTCTGTTAAAAGTGGAAAAGAAAACGGGAGAAAAAATATTGACTAATGGAAAACTACCGGTAGGAAATTATGGCGGGTGATGCTCGACGATCGCGACGACATAAGAATACAGAATTAACTTCCAATCTAGCGGAAGGCTAGAATTGAATTGATCGAGCGGCGAGTTTAACGGCTTCGGAGGAAAAACCCATAAATAAATTGTCAAGAAAATTCTGACAGTGAAATTAGAGTGTCGAATCGTTTCCTAGAAATTGTCCTCGAGATCCAGGCTAGAGATATTATAAATCGATGTGACGCGACGACGAAGCTTTCTATATCATTCGATTTAATTTTCCGTGTGAGGGGTTGCATCCTCGTGTAAATTCACCTTAATCGTTTCGCTTAGATATAACGTACGGGAATACCAACATTGATAGACATATACGTCGCAATTGCGACACATTTCGATGCCGTGTATCGATTGGGAGACCTTGCTCGACTGTCTCTTTCTGACGGTCAATATCACGACGATCGCAAAACGTGTGCCCATGGAAAGAGATCTCAGCGGTCAGACACGTGAAACGAACATTTTTCCTGCGATAGGATGATTCGTGCTACTTTATGGCGAAAAATGAATAATAGCGCAGAGGGAAAAGTCCAATAAAACAGAGAAAACTAGTGTTTTATTTTATTTTTTTTTTCTTTTTCTATTATATCAAAATTATGGAGAACTGAATGTATCTAATATTTTTATCTTTTCTTACGTAAGAATTATTGAGGTCTGATTGTAATGTTTGTTTCCTTAATTCTAACAACTCTGGAGAATTAGCTGTAATTAAAACTAAAAAGTACTATTTAGAATTGTATATTAATTTATGAAAGTTGATAATAAAATCTTTGAAGCATTGAATATGATATAATCTCAAAAACGTTGAAGCACATATTACATATATCAATTGATATTATCCCAATGAAACAATTTTCAACCTTCAATCTACAAATTGGTGTTAATTCTGTATTTTCTATTCGAGCAAAGAGCTTTCGCCAAACAGAGAATCATTATCGAATGGAATCGTAAGAAGAATAACAACGAAAGTAATTAAAACGCACATACAATGTTCTCAGACGATATTAATAGCAATCGATGTAACTTGAATCGCGAATCGAATCGCAAATGAGTAAATTACAAATAGATTTTAGATCCATCGTCAACTCGTCAACGTCATCAAATTCATGCGTAAATAAAAAAAAATATTCATTCTGAATCTGAACAATTAACCGAGCATTTCTACGCCCTAAAAATCGATCTGTTTCGTACAAGTTGGATCGATAAACATCTACAGGAATAATCGTTCGCGTGATTAAAGAAATAAGGCACGTGAAACATGATTTATATCAAAATAATGAAAGTGCGTTAACAAATGAAACGAACAGAAAGTACTTACCTACTGGTAACATCCATTACAATTTTTCATAAGGTTCGTTAAAACGTTTGAAGCGATGGCAATTTGAGAAAGCTTTATCGATCGTTGCCCATCAATGTCACACGTTCGAGTGCTCGATCCACGTATTCTACAATATATACTCCACGCTTTTAAAGTAATTGTAATTCTCGATTAAAGGTATATTAAAAGGTAATTTTTTTCTATGTCTTCGAGACAACGAATTGCTCGACGTCACACATGGAACTATAGTACGCAATAAATGTCATTGTTGCGATAGGCTCGGAATAAGAACTGCGTATTACAGTTCTCGAGGAATTATGACATACTACGCTATAGTGAAATAATAGTAAACACGTTGTTCCTATCATAAGTGTATACATTGTCAATGACCCTTTCCACCGACCAAGGAAATGGAAAAGTTTCGCAAGTCATGCATGTCTTGTTTGTGCAACGTGCATCAATTAAACGAACGCGAAATCGCAGTTTCTGTACGAATAATTTTAGGCTTTCACGGTCGTCATACCGATGTTATCGGTTTCGTTGGAAAAATATTGTACTTGTAGGTGAAAACATTAGAACGCGAATATTCAGAATATTGTTTGAAAATGTCGCAACTTTGCAAGCTCGAATAACAAGTTTGCAAATTGAAATTTTGAAAGTTAGAGTAATCTTTGAAAATTTCAAAGCTTGTTCAATGTTGCGATAATCTTTGAAAGCATTGCTGTTTCGAAAGTTTGAACGATCTTCGGACGCTGCAGTATTGTAGAAGTGTAACAATTATTCCATTCGGTGGAAGAAAAATTTCACCTTGGTAGTCGTCTAATTTAAAATTATTTGCGAATAATATTTCAAACAAATTACACTAATTTTTCATCGGAGATTTATTTAAACCACTTACGATTAATAAAGAGCGATACATCGGTATCGTACGTTATTACGTGTACGTAAGTACGATGAACAACAATCGTAAAGTATTGTTTATCCAGGCAATCAATCAAGGCTGTCGAGTTCGGTAATCAAGCCCTCGTGAATTATTGACTGAGGTCGAAACGATTTTTCAATACTACGATTAGCTCCGTGGTGCAGAAGGAAAAAAGACGAACTCGTAAACGAGCCTGGTCAATCACGCGATTTTTCCTGACGGTTTCAGTTAGACCAATTGATTGAACTTCCTCAATTATTTAGCCGCCATGATAGCAGGTCAATCACGAATTGCCAGATGGGTTACTCCTGTTGAAGCGTTCGATCATGATCGAGAACGACTTTACGCTTCTACAGAAAACTAACAGGCTTTCTACACCGTTTGAAAATCGTTATCGTTTGTCTGCTTGTTCCGATTCCAGGACTGGTAGTATCGAGAGACTGGTAGACGGTGATAAGAGAGTGATCGCCACCAAGAATTGGCTTCCAGAGAACAACATAAATGTCGTTGTCAGGTAAGAACACCTAGTATTATTTCATTGATCAATTCACTCAGATACGTTTATTAAACTTGCATGGGATGATTGCAAGTGTAATATTAAATTTACATAATTTTCCTGGTTAATCGATCATTTTATAGAGTACGTCCGCTTAATAGCAAGGAAATTAAAGCCGGCGACGACATGGCCGTACAATTTCCCGGAGATGGACAGATATACGTAAGTATATCGCTTATTATGTCCTCTGATTAATTTGAAGAAATGTTGCGAGCTCGGATAATTCGTCGATTATTCGATATCATTTTTCCTTCTCTTGTTAGCCCCCTCGCGTTTAATTAAAAATATCTAAACGAAATTATCGTGAATCACATGGACTTTTATCGTTCAACCTTGCACAGTGCGACGGATTTCCAAGCAGCGGGGACAAGAAGGGCAAATTATTTTCGTACAACGTGGTGTTCGAGCCCACGGCCACTCAGGAGGACATCTTGCAATTCTCTGGTGTGAAAAAGCTTATTGAAATGGCGGTAGAAGGATTCAGCTGCACCGCGTTTTGCTACGGGCAAACCGGAAGCGGAAAAACTCACACCCTCACAGGGCCTCCAGAAATGGTTAGCGAAGAAGATTCCTTTGTCAACTTTTTACCTACTCTTCAGATAGAAATTCATCGGTCTTACACGTTGTTTTTTTTCAATGAAAACCGAGTACGGTTTTCCGTCAGAATTTCCGTCAGAAAAAAACCGAGTTTCCAGAAACACTCGCCAAGAAGCGTAAGAATAGCAAAAGGCGATTACGAATAATGTATTAAAATAGTTGATCGAGTTGAAGTGAAGGCCGTGTATGAATGTAACAGAAAGGTTAATGTTGTTCGACGTGCGTAGATAAGATAATGACGGTATATCTAAACGATACTCGTTTACCGCTCGAACAATGTTATACGTGATCGCAAAAACAAACAAATTATCAATAAAAGTGTTCGAATTATTAAACGTGGCGCTTTACACTACTTCTAGGATTTGTATACTTGCTATTTCCAAATTTCAGTGGTATAAAAATCTTCGGTTGGTTAACTTTTTATTTTACAAATTAATTCAATTACATAGGAGAATTGAATTAAAAGATGGAATCTTTTTTTAAAATTTAATGATAGTTAATTAAGCTTTGTTATTATTAATCAACTAAATTTTACGATGAAAGTAAAATCACGCAAAGAAGCGCTTTTTGTCAAATTACAAGAATCATCAATGAATGTTTTTCTCTTAAACAGTTCGAAAGGATGAACCCTTACTCGGAGCAACACGGCCTGGTCTTCCGGTCTTTCGTCTACCTGTTTAAGTTGTTGCAAGAACGACAAGATTGTAATTTCGTGTTAAAAGCTTCCTTTCTGGAGATCTACAACGAAAAGGTCAGTGGATATCACTTTCAGTGGAAAGAGAGAAGAGCTTCGTCACCGATTTACAAGGCATCGTTTACCTTTGAAACGCAGGTAATAGATCTGTTAAATCCTGGCACGTCGAGGAAACCCCTAATGGTACGATGGAGCAAAAAGACACGGGGCTTTTTCGTTGAGAACCTTTTCACTGTCGAGTGCGAGGAACTTGATGATCTTCTGGCGGTTCTCGAAGAAGGTAGTCGTGTTATTGATCTTCACTCTTTGCACCCCCGATAGATATACTTTAAACCCCTTTACCATCCCTTACACACAGCACGTGTTTCATTGTGAAAATATCAAACGCGATAAATCCGATTAAAAAATATAGTAAAATTCACAGATTTATTTAAGAAGATAGAAAATCCATAAATATCTAAATTCGTTGACATTACTTTAAAAATTTCCAAATGTTAGAAAAGCGTATTTATAGTAATATGATTTTTCAGGCATGAGAAATAGAAAAGTTGGTTCGCACAATATGAACGACTATTCCAGTAGAAGTCACAGTATTCTCACTGTCAGCATCACGTCTGAACAACAGGTGAGTATCCAAATTATCGTACGATAAAGACAAATTTTATACAAATATTACTATCGACAGATGGATAACAGCGTGTTTATATCGAGACAAGGGAAAATTAATTTCGTCGATCTGGCTGGAAGTGAGATGACGAAGAAAACGCAAAGCGAAGGGAAGACTCTGGAGGAAGCGAATAATATTAATAAAAGTCTCATGGTTCTAGGTACGATTATCAAAAAGTTATAAGAAAAAATACAACACAAATTAAGCACTGAAATACTAAAACGGTTCAATCTTCGAGTTGTCTTCTCTCAAAGTCTATCTCGAAGCAGAATTTTGTCGAATGTTCAATACCAAATTAATCGAACCTCGTTTAATATTACGATGAAACTTTACGTTATCAATTATGCGCAAGGATCGTAAAAATCGATTCCGATGAACAGAAGAACGCGGACTTCACCCGCAACATCGACTTCTATGTGACGATCGATAAACGAACGTGATAGCGCGAATTGCATGGAAACGACTTTACGTTACAGAAAAGTTTCTCCAACTTCTTTTGAGATTGACACTTTTTACTTTAAAGGTTACTGCATAGCCTCTTTGAGCGATGGAAAACGCAAGGGTGGTCACATTCCGTATCGAGACAGCAAACTGACTAAGCTTCTAGCCGACAGTTTGGCAGGAAATGGCGTTACATTAATGGTAAATCAAATTATTCTAACAAGGACAACTTAATAATTATACATTCAATCGGTATAACTGATTGGATGGTTTAATTGAATTTTAGATCGCCTGTATTTCGCCAGCTAAGTCGAACGCGAGCGAAACATTGAATACGTTGAGGTACGCGGCGAGGGTGAAGAAGATTCGAACGAAACCTATCGTGGTAATGGTGAGTGAGGTATATTAATTGTAAATTATAAGTATATAGAAAACATGAAATACGAATAGAATTTACTTTTATATAGGATGCTCGAGAAGCTCTGATTCTCAGTTTAAAACGAGAAGTAGGAGCTCTTCAGACGGAAAACGAACATCTGCGCGCGGCTCTTCATTTAAGTGGTGATGCATCGAATATAGTTCGTAGCGAATCCAAAAGTAAGTATCAAATGTCAATTAATAAGAAAGATTTAATACAATAGTGAGTTTAATAAAAAGATTTAATTGAAAATTTAGTAACAACGATTTAATATAATTAAAACGAGAAAGGCAAAATTATAAAATTTCTCCTTAAATAACTTCTTATAGCTGAAAGAAGAGTGCCATTGACACCTCCGGTGGTGGATTTGAATAAACTATCCGAAATGGAACGACCCGAATTAAGTCAACTTATCCACGCGTATATCACCGAGAACGAAGCTCTCCGTCGAGAAAATGCAGAATTATATGCTACGAGGGAGCAAGTGATACGGGACCAAGAACTCGTATGCAGAGAAAACGAAAGGTTACTGAAGAAACTCGAGGACGTTAATTCGTAAGTACAACAGGATTTAAAGACGACCTCGACATACAATTAATCCGGTAGATTTTATTACTGTAGAGTGTGTTGCCGGTCGCCAATTATACCTGCCAGACCAACCTATTCGGCGGAAATGTTGAACGATAACGAGGACGCACCTGGCGCTACCAATGTTTGGACCAACCCTAACGTCGAACCTACGCCTCTTTCGAGTGTATGTCGAAATCTTTTAAACTTTCCTTTCTCTATCATTGTATTCGCTGTATCTACTTAATTACGTTAATTATTTTTCAGTACTTTACATAGCAAAGTAATGTTTAAAAGATATAACAGAAATTTAAATTTGTAGGATATGATCCGGAATGGATTATACAGATCCGTTAGTAGTATGCCAGAGAAGATTCAGAAAGAACTAGACAAACGTAGAATCGTAGGGAGTTATAATAACATAGCAGAAGCATACAAAGACAAGAGTCATCATCGTCGACACAATTCATGGGACAACGGGAACGGGACGACGAGAATGAGTCCGGATCAAGCTATATCACCGATAGACATTAATCAGTAAGTAGCACTAAATAAATCATCATAATACTAGAGCCAATACGATATTCAAATCAATAAGCCTTAGTCTCCTATCAAAGCCAATTGCAATGCAAATCGACATTGGAATTCGCTTCAAATGTATTCCAATTAATTATATCTTTTTTAAATAAATCAAGAAATAATTACCACATTGTGGACTAGAAGTTTTGCTGTATATCCTATAAAATTGATCTCTTTAATGATAAAATAATTATCCTGTGACATTTACTTACACGCATATAAGTATAATTAAAATAATGAAATTAAATAGCTATAATTATTTCAATAAAAAGAAATATTGATTTTGCTGATAGAAATTATTAAGCTGCGAATGTGAATGCATCTGTAAAGGATTTAAAAGTCAAAAGTATACTAAATGCACATAAAAAATATATAAAATATCCAGATTTCATTTTTTTAATTATATTCACAAAAATATAAATTTGCATAAATATCCGCAGACTTGCATATTTTTAGTAATTAAAAAATTAAAAAGTCTGAAACCCACCATATTTTTATGGTATGATTCTAGTGGTAATCTCTAGTCACATAAAATAAAATTTTCCAAAATTTTGCTCAAGTTCACTCAGAAACTTACCAAGACTTTAGTCTACAATGTGTTATGGTGCCTGATATAATCAGTACCATTCTACCTACTAATTGAAGGGACGCATGGTAACAGGTACAAAAAGCCGAGCATGCGTCGCACCTCGACAGTCCCTGAAGAACGAAGACCATCGGAGACGAACGATCTCCTGGGCGAACCGGTTCAACCAACCGACCATTCGTACAACGAATCCCCAGACTCGATACTCAGCGGTCCTCTGGAGATGGCGAACTCAACGCCGGACACAGCTGAGTCAGAGGCGCCAACAGCGCCATTTCCGGCGGTATCACACATCTCGTCCCCGTTCGGCACTCCGGAACCCGAAGACCATTCGATAAGGACACCAAGAAAATCCAAAGAGAAAGAGGACGAAACTTCAGGAAGAGCTTTTGGAAGTCCAATTCCTATTGACGAGGATAAACCACTTTGAACACTCGAGTCAACAAGCACGATAGTCTGATGTACTTTAATCGTGATAACCTTGACTTGGTCAAAGCCATTGAGTCGACTGTAAAGATAAGAAAATGAATTAGGAAGAGTGCACATGAAAATCAGTCGATAATAAAGAGTTTTTTGGATGATTAGAAAAAATTATTTTGGATCGATAATTAAAGTTTAATGACGAAAGTATGCATTAATGTTGGTAAATTTAAAAAAAAGGTAAGCTGAACATCTGTTTTGGTAACGACACAGAAATATCGTGTTTTCAAAGTGACGAAAATATGTAGTACGCGTAGTCGAAGTTTTATTTACGTGTGGTAAAAGTATATATGTACATAATTATGTGTGAACTTAGACGTGAATATCTACATAAAAGTCAGTATTTTTCCGTGATAATGACAAAATAACTCAGGTTGATATAAATTACTGAATTCTACCTCTGAATAATATAAAATGACATATCCTGTAACTCCTGTAATGATAAAGGTGTTGACCAAATTACGTACAATAAAGCATTTGATTGTTTTACGAGATTTTCTTCTTTATTACCTGACCATTCGTAGAACTGGACAGTTTCATTGAATTGTATACTTCTTTTTTAAACTGGATTGTTCTAGAAATTATAACTCGGCTATTGAATATCGATAAAAATAACATGTCTAATAAAAAAGAGCATTGTGAGCGAATAAAAACTAGGACGATTGTTAAGAAAATTATGTTTGTCTCCCCGATAAAAAATATCTATAGAAAAACACGTGACCTAATATCTCTGTTATCGACACGAACGTAGTATGTAACTCTATGATTGCGTGCCAATAACTCGCCACGCCATTGATGCGTACATAATTTATTAGATAAGCATCTTGCCACGTCAGATAAGCAAAAACATAAAATTGCTAGGTTAGACACGATAGTCGCCAATGATAACGCGTATATAGATGGCGCTTATCTAACCAGAAAAATTTCAATTCGAAATTATTTATTGGTCGGAGTCATTTTAAGTGTAATTAATATATAACATAACCAACCAATCATCTCCGACTATCCATTCAGTCTGCTTTCCCATTCGCTTGTTTCTTACTCCAATCATCGAACACTGTTCAAATGCAAAATTCATGATGTAATGTTAATCCACCATGTCGCAACAAGAAAATAAAGAAGCAATAACGTGCGAAATTTCCTTGTGGAAATGATAAATCTGTATTCCTGCCTTGTTACTCCGTCACATGTCGTCGTCGAGAATCAGCGAAGCATTCAAGACAATAAAAAAGAGGACGGTTTTGTTTCATGAACAAGGCGGTATCGCTGTTTTACCGACTGATCGAATCCCTATCCCCACTTTATCAAGGTAGCATCGACATCTCGATTGCTGGTGGTGCAACTGCGAGAGTAGCAACAGAGCGGATGAAAGAACGAGAATCATTGTTGGATGAACAGTGGTATCGTGGTAGACTTTGGGTACAGCTTTGAAAGGGTAAACTGGAAGTGAGGAAGAACGGACGAAGAGAGGCGCGTCAAGAGAGAAAGAGAAAGCGGACGCGTGTGGCAAGGTCGGTGTGTGGTGCGTGCGGTGCAGTTACGGGCTTTATTAAAGTGCAGTCGGCCGGGTTGAAAAACAATCGACGGACATAATACGGCGCCCCGTGAAGTCCGATGTCTAGTGCTGAGGTGGTGGAGAGTTCCGTTGACCCCCCAGCTAAGAAGCGACGCGTTGCTGCCACCACGGGAGGAGGCGACGACGATCCGACGACGACCGCAGACATGGCGAAAAATGGCTCGACGTCCCGGGCTACCACCGAAATTGACGAGGGTCTATACTCCAGGCAGCTCTACGTCCTCGGCCATGACGCTATGCGTCGCATGGCATCCTCGAATGTCTTGATATCCGGTCTTGGCGGACTCGGCGTCGAAATCGCCAAGAACGTCATCCTCGGCGGCGTCAAGTCCGTTACCTTGCACGATGACGCATTGTGCCAGATTTCAGACCTCGGCTCACAGTTCTATCTTACCGAGGCGGACGTAGGTGAGCGGCTTGACCCGCGAAATACATGAATCCCTCTTCTACAGAAATTATTATTTTCCAACGTTATTTTGATGCTCAAAATTTATCCATCCATTTTAATAAGATTGCGCGATCTTACGAGGCGATGATATAACAATATAACCAATCGTCTTGTTCATCGATATTATCGTAAAAAATTTCTTTAAATAGATGCGGGTTGTGTCTCGTGTAAATCAAATGCAAATGGTAGAAATTGTATGGAAATTTTTGTGACTGTGTAGCTATGTATATGTCTCTGTATAAATTAAATTCTTATTATGTTATAACTAAATTGTTGGTAACAACAATTTTCAATAGTATTAGAAATATTCAAAAGATATTTATCATTTAAAAAAGACTAAGCAATTAACCTCCACGTTATTGATCAATTTCATTTTTGTATGACTCACTTAAAAGTTATATAGTTAAGCACTATATACAGACATGATTAAACAGTAAAATTACATTACTGTACTTTCTTTTTTAGGTAAAAACCGTGCTATTGCTTGCTGTCAACGCTTGTCTGAGCTGAACAACTATGTCCCTACATGTCACTACTCCGGGCCGTTAACAGATTCCTTTATTAAGAAGTTCAAGGTTGTGGTTTTGACTGAGACTCCATTGAATGAACAATTACGTATCTCTGAAATTACTCATGCAAATGATATAGCACTTATTATAGCAGATACCAGAGGCCTATTTTCTCAAGTCTTTTGTGATTTTGGAGAAAAATTTACGGTAGTTGATGTCAATGGTGAACCACCTGTAAGTTCAATGGTTGCCAGTATTTCACAAGATACAGAAGGTGTTGTTACTTGTTTAGACGACACACGTCATGGCATGGAGGATGGTGACTCTGTCACCTTTTCTGAAGTACAAGGCATGACAGAACTAAATGGTTGTGACCCAATAAAGATAAAAGTTCTTGGTCCATACACTTTCAGCATTGGGGATACATCTAAATACTCTGAATATATTCGGGGTGGTATAGTAACACAAGTAAAAATGCCAAAGATCTTACAATTTGCTTCATTGAAAGATGCTTTGAAGACACCAAGGTTCCAGATAACTGATTTTGGAAAGTTTGACTATCCAGAACAGATACATTTGGCTTTTATTGTATTACATAAATACGTAGAAGCAAATGGACAATTACCTAGACCATGGAATCAAGAGGATGCAGACAAATTTTTGAACCTCGCTAAAACTGTTAAAGAGGAAGTAAGCAGTGAAACGGAAATAAATGCAGAGCTGCTTGAAATATTTGCAAAGATATGCTCTGGAAACTTAAATCCAATGAATGCTACCATTGGAGGAATTGTAGCCCAAGAAGTGATGAAGGCCTGTTCTGGAAAGTTCCACCCTATATTCCAATGGTTGTATTTTGATGCCATTGAGTGTCTACCTGCAGATCGTTCTGAACTTACAGAAGAAGATTGTCGTCCTATTGGATCACGTTATGATTCACAGGTTGCAGTTTTCGGCCGCAAATTCCAGTCAAAGATTGGAAGCTTGAAATACTTTGTTGTAGGAGCTGGAGCCATTGGGTGTGAATTGCTCAAGAACTTTGCAATGTTAGGTGTTGGTGCTGAAAATGGTAGTGTAATAGTCACTGACATGGATTTGATAGAAAAATCTAACTTGAATAGACAATTCTTATTTAGACCATCTGATGTTCAGCAATCCAAATCATCAACAGCAGCTAGAGTTATAAAAAGTATGAATCCTGACATGAAGGTGATTGCTCATGAAAACAGAGTATGTCCTGAAACAGAGAAAGTATATAACGACGACTTTTTTGAGGTTTTAGACGGGGTTGCGAATGCGTTAGATAACGTTAACGCCCGTATTTATATGGATCGTCGTTGTGTATATTATAGGAAGCCCCTCTTGGAATCTGGTACATTAGGTACAAAGGGTAATACTCAAGTTGTTGTTCCATTTTTAACTGAATCATACAGCTCCTCCCAAGATCCTCCGGAAAAAACTGTACCAATCTGCACGCTAAAGAATTTCCCCTATGCTATAGAACACACTTTGCAATGGGCTAGAGACAATTTCGAAGGTCTATTCCGCCAAGCGGCGGAGAACGCCGCTCAACATATATCCGATCCACAATTTGTGGAGAGAACGCTAAAATTACCTGGAGTTCAACCACTAGAAGTATTAGAATCTGTTAAAACAGCCTTGGTCGATGAAAGACCAAAAACATTCGCCGACTGCATCGCATGGGCTCGTTGCCACTGGCAGGAACAATACAGCAATCAAATTAGACAACTTCTGTATAATTTTCCGCCTGATCAAGTAACATCCAGTGGTCAACCATTTTGGTCTGGACCAAAAAGATGTCCCAAACCACTCACATTTAATGTTAATGATCCACTACATTTAGACTATATTGTAGCTGCTGCTAATTTAAAGGCAAAAGTTTATGGTATTCCTGTTAACAGAAACCGAGATGAAATAGCTAGGATTGTTAGCACTGTGCAAGTGCCGGAATTCACACCAAAATCTGGAGTGAAAATTGCGGAAACGGATTCACAGGTACAAGCGTCCAATGGTAGCGGAAATATAGATCATGAAAGACTCACTCAGTTACAAGAAGAACTACCAAGGGTTGAAGATCTTAACGGCTTGGTAATATATCCGCAAGAATTCGAGAAGGATGACGATACCAACTTCCACATAGACTTCATTGTGGCAGCTTCGAATCTCCGTGCTACCAACTACAAAATTACACCAGCTGACAGACACAAGAGTAAACTAATTGCTGGTAAAATAATACCAGCTATTGCTACTACAACTTCAGTGGTAGCAGGTTTGGTTTGCCTCGAGCTTATTAAACTGACTCGCGGCGTAAAAGATCTGTCTGTTTATAAGAATGGCTTCGTCAACTTGGCTCTGCCATTCTTTGGATTCTCAGAGCCAATTGCTGCGCCAAAACTAAAGTACTATGATTCAGAATGGACCCTCTGGGATCGATTTGAAGTGAAAGGGGAGTTGACACTGAAAGAGTTCTTAGATTACTTCAAAGAACATCACAATCTGGAGGTCACCATGCTCTCTCAAGGTATTTGCATGCTTTACTCGTTCTTCATGGCAAAGCCTAAATGCCAAGAACGTATGGGTCTTCTGATGTCTGAAGTGGTGAAGAAGGTATCAAAGAAGAAATTGGAAAGCCATATACGTGCGTTGGTATTTGAACTTTGCTGTAACGATGTTGATGGCAATGATGTGGAAGTTCCATATGTTCGCTACACTTTGCCGTGAAATACGTTGATGTCACCAGGATAACGAGAGATATCTACTTAACTGACTTAGCCGTAGTAATTTCCACAAATTTCTATTTTACAATACGATACAAGAGAATATTACTCTTTCTCTATGTAAGGTTCTCAAAGTTTAAAAAAAGAAAGGAAAAGATTCATTTCTATCGTCGATGCTTTGTAGCATTTATAATAGCAAGGAATCGCGGGATCCACGGAGT